CATCATCAATCTCTCCCTTCAACCTGTTATATTAAATTTTAGAAGTGTCGTCTTCTTATCCCATCCTATTGTATAGTTGTGTGCAATTGCATGTAGTGCTACAGCTGAACTATTTCGCTAGGTTTTTGTGCTCCTCTAGTCTGATTGATCCTGTTCTACTACTTTGACCTAAGTATTCTATCTGACAATTATTTTAGGGTATTAGATGAACTAAATTATTTTGTTCAATGGGTATAACAGGATCTTTTAACAGAAATAGTTGGTTTCTAATTGAGTTTGTGTGTTTGAAAGCCACTTTTATCCCTGCAATGTTACGTAAGTTTTTTGAGGTTTCTTCTTTATTTGGAAGTATTTATTACTGATGACTTAAATTTCTTATTGTTGGTGTTGTCATCATTCTGTGCATGTTTGTCATGCATGTCGTCGTTATTATTACAACTATTACCAGTACACTTGATTAGTAAAAATAATCTTTCCTTCTTCATGCTCTTTTTATAAGCTCTTTTTTATTTGCTGTTATTCGGTATTTCCTTTCTTCAAAATCAATAACCACTCTCCAGCAAGGGTTTATCACTTATTCATAGTAACCTCGCACCTCATTCAGTTCACTAGCCGGTTCTAAGGCCGGAACACGAGGGAAGGTTGGATGTCAGACTGGCATCCTTACCCAGGCAAATAATACCAATGACTACAAAAACTTCAAGGCACAGGAAAAAATATAAATAACAGCAACCTTAATAAATAAAATGAGTACTAATCATTTCTTGTAAGGTGTAGTTTTCTATATAGTGTAGAGAGAAATGAGTCGTAAATTACTAGTGAGTCAGTTGTGATTATATACATTCATATAATAAAATATAAAGGTTTATTATTGTTTCTATTTATCTAGTGATCAATCATTGCGTGAAATTAGTTGGACAAAGTATAAATTTGTATTAAAGTTGTTGTAGCGAAACTTTCTCTTGTGTATACTACTAATTATGTTTCCCAACAAGCGCATACATACTTGTGCACTTGAAATTAAAGCTAAGCTATGATTAGTGGACAGCAGACAATACCAGGTTCCGTATATCTTGATCGGTGAAACGATGTTTTAACTCATGACCTATTGATTGGAAATGCGGAACCTGATTCAAAAGACCATGGGATTATATATTACGCAACAACACAAAGGGTAGGTCTTACTCTCCTAAAAGTAGGATGTTATGAGGTGAAAACCTGAGTTGTACGGGTTTCTTCTGCATATATACAAAAAGCAAATAGTTACGTCTAACGGTTTTCGCATGGTATTAGGTAAGACAATGTATGCTGACTGTGGTCAATATTATATTGTGACTTAATATGATAAAACTGAAGCCAAGATAAATCAATGTACTTGAACATTCAGCTAACTCTCTTTATTTAACCAATTTAACGCCGTTAACAGAGTTTTTCAAAATGCTCCTCAATCTACATATACCTTTACTTTCTCAAAATTTAAACAGTCTTGAGTATTTTAATATGAACTGCCTTTCTTTTTGTACACCGAAACAAACGCTTTAAAACGTAGACTTTATTCTGGATAAAATGTTCTTCTTCAACCTGTTACCTTCCCTTAAATGAAAGCCTACAGTATCCTTAACTTTAATCTTCAGTTAAATCAGTTAATCTGTCCAGGGATGTATAAATGTGATTCCTTTTCAGTTATCCGAATTAATGATTCATGCTTGCTACTTTTATATCGTTTTATATTTTCTACATTATATGATAGATTTCATTATAACACATCAACTCATTTATCATTTCTCTTGTACAACACAACATGTATTATTACAATTATAAGTAATACTTCTGTTAAACATTGTTCATATCTTCTTAAATATTCATTCAATGAAGTGTCTTTTGGATAAAAGTTGACATTCAAAGAACACTCATTGAGAAGTAATCTGGTTAGATTGGTGTACAAAGAGTAACACATTAATACAGTTTAGTTAAAATATGTTGTAAGTAGTATATTATGTGTGATATTTTCTGCAAAAGTATTGAATCGAAAAGAGACGAATTAAATGGCAAAGGGGAGAAATGAAAGATCTTCATGAAACACGAGACTAGAACAAAAGAATTATGATACAAGAAACAAGTGTGAATGGAGATTTCAATGCAACGTATTTGTATTTTCCCATACATCATTTTTCTAAATTACAACTCTGCTGACAAAATACCTTTCTGTTCTGTTCTTCCACTATCAGTTATCTTTCGCAATCTCACCACATCATATACACGCTTATCGTTATACTAAATTATAGTTAATATACTGAACTTAACAAATTCTACACTCTGATTTACATTGGAAAAGAAAACTAACTCCAAAATAATACCGCACTACAGATCACAGACTCGAACCGGTTCAGACCACTGGATTTCTGACTAACTACTTGGGCAAACTGAGGACACCATAAATCAAATTGCAATTTTTAAAATTGGTTAGCAATTTGCCATGTACACAGTTCGAGGCGTGAAATTTTAAAACAGAGTTTTCTCCGGAAACGAAATTATTCAGATCACATACTGTGATCTGCTTGATACTATAAATGCTAATCAAGATGATGAGCTCTTCTGGAAATGAGCGAGATGTCCATCCAGTGTTTAGATATACAGAAGTAACAGGCGGCATGCTTGAATCACTGAGCTACTAAAATGCTTAATTTCATTTGGATTCATCATTGTTTCAATCGTCCAGTTATTAATGTCAAATGACCTATACATGAAATCGCGCTCTCTGATTTAGCTTACTTACAAGCAACTGCTGAGAAATTCTTCAACGAAATGAAGATATACTTCAGATTATTACTGTACACGTAAATCCCGTATGAAGAAAAAGTATTTTTGGAACTAAATAGGCTGAAAATTTTTATATCATATGTTTGCATATTGTCTGGAATAAAGCCTTATTGTTATATATGATTTATTAGATTAGCTTACTCTGTCTAGCAGGCGCTACTGATTGACAATGAGTCGTATACAACTACTCATCTTGACCAATCAGTAGTATGTAGTTTCAAGCAAGTTTGTTTGCTTTGTTGATTACCATTTATAGTGAGTGTCAAGCAGATCACTCACTATTATCTAAAGATTTTAACCCTTTAACTGTGTGTACAGTGCGGAATTGCCAACTGATTTGCAAAATGTTGATTTGAACACAGTCTACTGAATAATACTGGTTAAATATACAGATAACTTAAATATCAACATATCCTGTAATGGATTCGCATAGTTATGTCATATCCATAGTTATTATAATACAACAGGTAACATTTAAACTCACTATAACTATTACACCCACCACTCAAATAATAATAATGGCTGCTTTATATTAGTCAAATTTTGACTCAGGAGATAGCAGTGTGTTGTGAATTAGTTAGGCAGTATTCTAACTGAACAAGACCTGAATCATTTTATTTCAATTATAACATGCACATTCGCTAAAGTGATGACTTCACTAACCTGAAGAAAAATATACTAGATACTAAAAATTGAGGCCTGTCATTACCCATCAAGTTACATGGGAGTGAGTATATATATGAAACAAACATTTGTAAGGAACTGTAAGACCACTAGGTAGTTCCATAATTATGTAACATTTCACTAAGTTCTAGTTACTGACAATTTTATGTCGTGGATTGGTAGAAGTTGGAATTCATGGGCTGGCTATTGGATCGGGTGCCAGTGGCTGAATAGTCTGCAAGCTCGTCTTGTAACCGGAAAGTTCCGGGTCCGAACCCCGCTGTGTGCATGCGTACTGACGAGGAGTCTCAAACTACGACGAAACAGCTTTCCAGTACTTCCAGGTTTTCCAATGGCTCTCTAACCGATGTCAACACATGATGAAATCCTGTAACCAATCAATCGAATCTCTACAAGCTAATACTTGAACATTAAAAAAAAGTTTTCTGAACGACTTTAAGTTAGTGAATCACAAAATGCTAAATGCTCAACAATGTGATGAACACACCTCGGATGAGAGAACCTTCTATCAATAAAAGGTAAGATTATCTCTGAATTCGTAAGCAGAATAAAAGAAAGTGACTATTATTATTATAATTCTATAGGTTTCAACTAATTGATTACATACTGCAACTTCAAATTCATACCTATGTCAGCCTGTTAAATTCAGTAATAAAACAATAAGAATACAGAAGAAACTGCAACGGGATTCATGAGTTGTATGACTCCACCGAATAAACTTGACAACCGTCAACAGGTAACATATTTATCATACAAAATATTTTATTTTTTTGATTACAGCTTGATTCCACACTGTATTTTTGGTACATGTATGGAATTTTCAGCATGTGATATCGGTAGCCCAAATTTTGCAGGCCGACCATAGATATCAAGTGTGCGTCGGCAGGGGATCGAACCCCGAACCATGTGTATGGTCAGCGAGAGTCCTAACCGCTGTGCCACCGACGCACATTAATTGAATTGTAAGGATTGGATATTCGCAGAGAAGATTATCATATGATATCACGCGCCCGTTAGGCCCTCAAGTGGAACTCGAATGGGGGACGACTAGTTGGTCGTCATTTCGAGGGTGACATGGATGAGATCACATAAAGAAGAAATGAAGGCTTATGGACAATCGTAGAGCCAACTAGAGAAGGCTATGGAGAACAGGGTAAAATGGAGATGTGCTGGCAAATCCCTATGTTTCACCTGAAAGCCCAGGGACTAATAATAATAATATAGGAATAAATTTATTTAAAATAGTTTCAAATGATTATTTTCATCAATTGACACTATAATCCAATCAATCGCTACAATCTAACAATCTTTCAAGTGAAATGAACACTGATACTCTAAGTTAACAAAAATCAACTGTTTATAAAAAATGTGATGAAACCAACTGTATACTTTGTGAGTAGAAATCAAATAGGGCTACATTAATCACCATATATAGATATATTAAAATACACCACCACCAACAACAACAAAATCATTCGCTTCTATTTAAAACTCACTTGTAATGCATTATATAATATTTGATGTTCATATTTTTTCACGCCTAATGTAGCTTGAAATAATTCATATAATTGTTCTTTAGTCATTACTAATTCTGGTTGAGGAACTTGTAATTTTTGTAGAACAGATGATGGACCAACACCACCACGACATATTTGATCAAATTTTACCATCCATGCACTAACAACATTAGCTTTATTTAAACCTTCAATTTGTGGTAAACACTGTACACGATGTTCACTGTTCAATCGAAAGACTTCACGAAAATCATGCATTGAACAACCACCACCACGTACCATACTTGCTACACGATCACTGCGTAAAAAGACCTATAGTTTGTTTTAACGAAAAGAAAGAAAATAACAATAATAGAAATAAAATAATTACATGAAGAGATGTTAGTAACTATGCGGATTTGTCTTAAAAATAGTATGCTCTTCTTAAACATTTTAACAGTAACTCTAAGTGTTAATTTGTAGAGATCTGATTAGTTTCAAATATGATCACGGATTCACATCAGTTAGAGATTCATTGAAAATCAGGCAGTACTGGATAGTTCTTCCGTCTTAGTTTAAGACTCTTCACAGTATACACCCATAACTTCACAGGGGATAGATCCTGGCATTGAAATCAAGTGAATTCTACTTAACTGTGATTTGAACACAAAACGATGTGATATTTTTTAAATATAATAACCTATTGTTCATGTTCTGCAGAATAGCACAATATACATTGAATACCATAGTTTCATAAGTATAAGATCTAACTTTTAAAAGGACTGAGTTTCAACAGAGAACTTTGTACAGAAATGCAGCAGTTCGAGTTGCAAAACTCTGAGTAGCGCACAAAGGCAGAGAAAAAGAAGAGAGATTCAAAAGAAGTCCAATGATCAAAAACGTACGGGAAAAAGGACAGTAACATGGAAAAACAACAGGGTTCAATGGATATGGCAAGATCGCAGACAGAGAATACATCTGCGTCGATAAGAATAATTTTAAGGCATATAACCAACAGTTCTAAGCTATTGGTTCTTAGCACGTTGGTGGCTTAGCGGTAGAATGCTCACCGGCCACACATGTCGTCCGGGGTTCAGTTCCTGGCTTATGTACTCCTTTATCTAGCTAAGCTGGCAATAGGACCGGTAAAGAGGGAAGGTTGGGCATGCGGCTAGCACCCCGTACAAATACAACACAGCTGCTACTGAAACTTCAGAGCCCTAGCTTGAAGCCTTACGTTCCATTAGGAACGATTCTTAGCATCTCGGGCACCTCAAACAACCATTCTACACCTCCTTAGTTGGCTCAAACCATCTGTCAAATATACAATTGGTGGATGGTGACTAGCAGTGGAATCCAGGATGCGCATTTCGTCCTAATTGGGACTCGTCATCTGGATGTACCTGCATTTTTCAGTGAGTGATGATCTTTCCACTGAGGCTCGAACCCAGTGCCCATAGTTTCAAACGCCGAAGCGTTATCCACTAGACAACTTGGGCCACGAGAGCCACCTCTTGTGCAACGGGTCATATTAATTATTGGATTGAATTTTTGATTTTCCCGTCGATGGATTGGACCGAAGTGCTCGGCCTCTGTCAAATACTTCAAGAACTGATGTCGGGCTTAGGTTTGACCATTTATAACTCTTTTGCATCTTAATCCTATGTCAAGGAATGCGGTGGCTTGGCATACGCAACACCTCTCCTAGTCGTCTCACTCGATTGACTTACCCTTCTAACTTAACTTCTAAAATCACTCTAAGCCTAGCATAAACATTTTTGGAAGGTCTTATGAAACCAGAGAAAATGACAAATTCAACCCGGTTTCTAGTAAGAGAAAAAATATATAACAAATCCCACATTGAAACCATTTATCATACATAACATTAAAGCTTTATAATTTAAGAGAATATATTGAAAAAAAATGTTGAATTCATCAAAACCAAAGATAAATCAGGAAGAACAGAATATAAAGTATATCGATGTAATATATAAAAAAAATAGTACTTTTCCTTAAAAATAAAATCAAAACAATAAATAAACTGTCGCAAACAATGAGTCTGGCTTTCAGATGTCTAATTTCATTCACTTCACGAGCCAGTTGTCCTTGACGTCATCACCGGGAAATTCAAAGGAAAAATAAAAAGAAACTGTTATTGAGTTAGTTTTACGGTGAGAAGTCAGAATAAAAGGTTTCCTAGGACGCTTAGGGAAAATAAAGTATTTACAGAAGATATTCAAGGAATAATACAAGTTAATTACTCTTACAAGTGAAGACTAAACGACTGCTTTTTTCCCCTCCCATCATCTTACAAAGAAGCATACTATTTAAATCTACAGAAGGATTTAAATATAGTTGGCCTGCAGTTAGTTTAATGTCACTACTGTGGGGAAGTCTTAAAATCGACAAAACAAATGTAATTATGAAAGCAAACAATATATATTTTTCAATAGCAAGTTTGCAGGGATTGTCGTTGGTCCCAAGTTTAACCTTGTATTGGTATCCATAATAGGACCATTGAAATCCAAGGAGTATTGGAAAGCTATTTAGTCCTAGTTTGGAATAGTTCATCGGTATCCTGCAGCCGGAATTCGAACCCAAGACCTCCTAGTTACAAGACAGGCTTGTAGACCATTCAGTCACTGCGATCCGACTCAATGAACAGCCTATGAATTCCAACTTCTGCCAATTCGTGATTTTATCCTTACCACCAACGAATGTTATCGTTGAGTACCTGTCCTTACTCTAGACCGAGTGGCCCCCATTGGTAGTGACGTCCCACTAGAACTCCAGGCAACTTTATCCTGTAGCCAGTAGTCACTAGCGAGCATCGGATCCCAGCAGCAGAGTGGTCCTGTACCTTGCCTTGTAACCGAAATGTTCTGAGTGAGTGAGCACTACCGATGAGTACCAAACTAAGACGAAACAGCTGTCCAGTATACCCTGGTTTTTCAATGTTTCTCTAACCCCAATATCAATCGGTGGTCAATTTAGAAGCAAAATGTATAGTTCTACATATAGTATGAGAAGTAAACTCACAGAAAGTAAATTTGAAAAAAATAACTATGCGTAATGAGAATACAAGGTCTGTAAAGAAATGCATAAACGTTTCGCAGAAAGACACATGGATGAAATAAGCTGACTGATTGACTGACAGAATTCAGGGAAAACTAACGTACAGATAACGGCAGATACGCATCAATTAAAGCTTTCACGCTTCAAAAAAATTCATAAAGACAAGTAGAGAATAAATAATGATACATATACGAATAAATAGGAGTGTGATAGAGAATAATTTGATAATGATGATAATAGCTAACGAAAAGACTCATATATGTACACTTAGTTATTCAAAATATGTGTTATTGAATTAATTACAAACATGGAATTCTAATGAGAAGTCTTAACCAGCCGGGTTCACCAGTTCAGGTAAGAGATCAGTTACTCGCTCATCACATCGGCTGGCGATTGCACTATATATATATATATATATATATATATATATCGCAAGTTGGTAGAATTTGGAATTCATATGCAAGCCGTTGGATCTGGTTCCAGTGACTGAATGGTCTAAGAGCTCACCTTGTAACTGTAAGGTCGTGGGTTCTAACCCCAGAGCGTGCTTACTAATAAAGTGTCCCGAACTAGGTCAAAATATCAATTTAGTATTCCCAGGTTTATCAGTGGTTCTCTAACTGATTAAATCTGTAACCAATCAAATCCCTGTAAGCCAACACTTGATAAATGCAGAATTAACAGAGACTGCAAGCAACTTGACAACAACAATAAGTAGAATGACCATGTTACCGTTTAAGTCATAAATTTACCCCTTCACTTGATTCTAGATGCAAGCATGTGCATTAAAGTTATTTAGTAGGAACAAGAAACAAAAGGTAAACTTGAAAGAATGAATGGCATTCACATCAACTTTTTGATGCTGCCGATCTTTTGAATATTTTTTTACTAACGTTTCCCTTTTTAACATTTGTTAGGAGTACTGGACAGCTGTTTCGTCAGCCTAGTTCGGGACTCTTCATCAATACGCACCCACCGGGATTCGAACCCAGGACCTTCTGGTTACAAGGTGAGTTCGTGTACCATTAGGCCACTGAGACCCAATCCAATGGCCCATGAATTCTTACTTCTGCCAATTCATGATATAGCGCAGAAGTTAGAATTCATGGGCCATTGGATTGGATCCCAGTGGCTCAATGGTACACGAGCTCGCCTTGTAACCAGAAGGTCCTGGGTTCGAATCCCGGTGGGTGCGTACTGATGAAGAGCCCCAAACTAGGGCGAAACAGCTGTCCAGTACTCCCAGGTTTTCCAATGGTTCTCTAAGTGATGTCAGTTCATGATGAAATCCTGTAACCAAAACAGCAATCAAGTGGAAAATCAAAAAAGAGAAAAAATGGAAATGTTGAACTACCGAATTTATTTGAATTGAATACACGCAATCAAGATGTATATCTTGCATTTTTGTCGCTTAAAAAAAGGAGAATTACGTATACACTTTTGTAAAAAGAAGAAAAGAAAAGAAAATTTGCACACACACACAAAAATAATATTTTCAGCTGTACTTATCCAAAATGCGTTACACTTTAGGCATAGAAAATATTACCGCCGCCTAAGGGAGGAAATACAAATTACAACGAATTGATAGAATACATTGTTTCATCATTTCATAAATCCAATAATATTAATAATAATAGTAGAAATTTTGAATTTAATGAAAATCGGTGCTGCTCTAATTCTCAGTCATGAAAGCCAATTAACATTTGCCTTTTATATCATCTTTTAAAGATTTTACATCCCAGTGTATTCGATTGTTTTAGATAAACTAGTGTTATATTTCGGAAGTAGACCTGACGTCCTATTAACTGACACCTTACATCTGATACCATATTACAAAGGCACTAAATTGTACGACAGTGCTATACCATACAAACCACTGATCAAGTTACACGCCTATCCGATAAACTTCAGTCAACAATGAAAACTGGAAGGATAGATTAGTAATGCAAACAGGTGACTACTTAGTATAAGCTACTAAGCTGATCTAAGACATATGTATTATAACTCATGACAGTCCAACTGTGACAAAGATCTGAATGATGAATAACAACCTACTTTTAATCTATTCAAATTCCAATGCAAATATATTAAACCCGAATAACTGACTGACTGGTTTCAATATAGAACTTGGCACCGATGTGTCACAGTTCGAGTCGGCACACTTCACTTAGTACACAAAGCCAGAGAAAAAGAAGAAGAAGAAGAAAGTAAAAACAAACGCAAAATAGAGACAGTAAAGAGAGGTATGAGGCAAAAAGAATAGTGATATTGAAGAACACTAGAATAACTGTGTACTAATTGTGAATCAAGAAAACCCTCTTATCATCGGTAAGATATGCAGACGTTTGCAATACAGACACACCTGGTTTCTGCCCTGTTATAATTCAGCTTTAAATTATATTCATCATAACTAACTAAAATTAGAATAATTTGGATAGCGGTTTTTATTCCTTGAAGGTGAAGTATCAATAATCCTGGCTACATCATAAGACACATTTGTAGATCTAATAAATAGAGGTGAAGTTACTGCTGATACTAACAGAGAATTCAAAGGCGATTTCATAAGTTTGATAATAAATCTTTAAACCACTTGCTCGAGTATTTTGTAACATTACTCTTGAGCCATGTATAAACTTAGAGTAACCAGTATTCAATTCTTTGTAAATGCATTTGTCGGCATGCTTCTTACAAAACAACCAGAACCAAGAGTATGTATTTAAAATTTTGTGCGAAGGTAAGATCGAATGCAAAATTTTATTATCCTAACATTTTATCATATAATTTTATAAAATTCTATGCACCACTTACCTCATAATAACTTTGTACAGCATTTGTAAAAGCTTCATCGCCTACAACATCTAATTCCCCACTAAGGAAAGCTTGAAAGCGTTCTTTAAATGTATTCAATTGTTGTTTAGTTATTTTTAGATAACGACGTATTAAATCAGTTGGTGGTTTTGAATAAAATGGATAGGCTATGCAACGCATTACAAAAACATATCTAAAGTAAGCAAAAGAAAAAGAAGAAGAAAAAGTGTGTTATTTTAGTAGAATAAAGTAAAATAACAAGATTGATAGTATAACATTTACTTCATATCTGATTACTTTAGATGAACTCTATTTGACTAAGAAGAAAGATGAGCTTCAACGGAGTACTTTGTTACAGGATTTCATCATGAGATGACATCAGATAGAAAGCCAGGGAGCATTGAATGGACGTTTCGTCATATTTTGGGACTCTTCATTCGCACGCACCCACACAGAGGGGTTGGGAACCAGGACCTTCCAGTTGCAAGGCGAGCTTGTAGACCATTCAGCCACTGATGTCAGATCCAATGGCCTGCCCATGAATTCCAACTTTTGCCAATTCATGATATGGCGCGACCACTAGTCAATGTCATCGGTGAGTATTGGTCCCCACAACCGACCCGTTGTACCCCATTGGTCATTACTTTGTGTCGTTGAGCAAAAGTTCAGATTACCTTAATAATTATTCCACATAAATGTTGGGCTATTTTGTAAAAATTAAGACAGTCAATATTAGTTTTGATCTTAACCGGCGTGACATAATGCAATAGTGACAACGAAATACCAGTTAATATAGAATAAGTCATATACCTGAATACAGCATTATATGTTCAAACTTATTGGCTACAAATTATAGTACTGGGGGTCTGTGACTTCATCTATGAAATATTCATACGACCATATACATTTAATAAATGTGGATTATATGATCAGATCTATAGCTAGGTGATGCATAACTGATTAATTCCTTTGCATTCCGAGTGGAACACGCAGCTTCAAGCTTTGAAGTTTCAGTAGCAATGATATCGCCTTTCTTAAATGGGATTGTTAGCTTCCCACCCAACGTTCCCTCCAGGCTAAGCTTACTACTGCCTAGATGAGGCTTGAGCTTGCGTCAGTCACTGTGATGAACAGAAAAATATAATGCAAACGGTACAGAGCTAAGCAATACTTTCATCACCGAAAATGAATTAATTAGATGTAAGAAGACAGAGTGCTGGTAAAAGTCTGCAGTGTATAGGTTCACTGTCACTTGGTGTGACAGTGAAAAGACAAAGTACGCAAAAGTACGCTTCTTTTTTTAGACAAATAAAAAATACGCAAATTAAAGGAAGAGAAGAATAAAAGTAACCATAACATCCAGAATCAACACGCATAAAAGTCACTGCACACAAAGTTACCTTCAGTCTTGATTAATATCACGGAAACTCCTGCTGAAGTATGAACGATAATCCTCCCATGTAGCCCACAATATTTTACAATCCTCAGTCTACTCACTGGATATTTAAAATATTTTGTAATTAAGACGAGAACTAGATGTTCGCATGACAATATTCAGCATAAATGTCAACTTTGATCTATACCAATTCATCACACTGTTCACAGAAAAATGACGGCATATAACACGGTGCAAAGTTGGCTGAAATCTAAACATTCCAATGTAACGTTTTTGTATTTTCCCATAATTCTACTGCATCACTTTCCTAAATTGTATTTCCGCTGACAAATATCCTTCTGTTCTGTTCTTCCACTACCACCTATCTTTCACAATCTTATCAAACTTTATACATGCATATAACTTTAGGGAATGATAGTTGATATATTGCAGTTGACAAATTCTACACTTCGTTTTACATTCAAAAAGAAAGCGTAAAACTACATACTACTTAGTGACTGATTGATTGAGGTGAGCAGCTGTATACCACACATACATAAACCAGAAGTGCTTGCCAACCAGAATAAAACGATCTAATCACTTGATGGTCATTTCCCTCGATTTGGACTGAGTTCATCAACAGTGTACACAGTTTGACTCAGATCAGGGAGCTGAATCAGCTCAAACCACTCGATTTCTGGAGGGCTGTTCAAACAAAATAACATTTTATAAATCGGTTGGCAATTTTCCACGTACACAGTTTGAGGAGTGAAATTTTCAGCATAGGTTTTCTTCGGAAACCAAATTATTCAGATCACAGTGGCTAACAAGCACTACTGATTGATAATGATTGGCAAACAACTACTCATCCCAATCAGTCAGTAGTTTATAAAGTTTTATGCTTACCACTAGTTGCTAATACAGACTTATTGTAGTGCGTATTATGAAATCTTAGATTATCTCCCGAAAAGTTGAGAGGTCATCTTCAAAACCATATTCCAATAATGAATACTTTAGTGAAGCAAGATAAAAAAGCATATTTCTACGGTTTAGTGCATGTCATATCATAAAGAGAAGAAACCTTTCGTAAAAGCTAGTTACAGTGTATTCTATTTATTCTTAAATAACACTGAAACTGAACTATCTTAATTACGTATGCAGATAGACTTTTCATCTGTGTCACCAGTAAAACAGGGTATTCTTTAAAAATGAATGAATAAATAAATAAATAACCAATAACAGTTGATAAATTTTTACAGTACTCAATCATTAATCAATAATTTTGCCTTTGTCAAGGCAAAAGTACATTTTATGCTTTATCATGAATAATTATGTCAATTATTTTCAAGGTAGATTACTTTTAAAGTGAAATGAGAGATGCTAAAGTAAGATAGTCAACCAGCATATATATATATATATAAAGGAAAAAAGCACATATATATAGTTGGGTTTGTTGTGTTTTTCCGTTAATTTATGAACAGTAAGAGAGAATAATTTTTTGATAAAATTTTATGATACAGGGAAGTCGACTATATTTCTTTTTAAGAATAAAACTATGTAGGGAAATTGTTCGCATTTTACTATTCTTCTTTTACGACTTCGATTACAATTTAATGAATTATATGTCTATTAAGCAGGGAAATATTACTTCACATTACTAGTTTATAAAACAAAAATACTAGATATTAGAAAGTAAGCAAGATATATATATAATTCAGGTTGGTGTAATTGGGCATTCATCCTATTATTATATTATTATACGAATTCAGGCCAGGTAGATTAATTTTGTTGTGGGCTACCTACCTGGTGAATAACTAACATTCTGCTTACTTTCAGTAATATCCCACTCAACAGACTTGTAGTTCTATTTAACAACTACTTAAGAAAGTAATGAATTCATAAATTCCAGTCCAAGTTGTCTGAATGGTCAACGAGCTTGACCGGATAACCTGTAGGTCCTGTGCATAGGGTCATCGGTGAGTACTATTGAAGAGTTCTAGACTAGGATGAAACACCTATCCAGTAATTCCTAATTTTCAGCGGTCTCACTAACTAATGCTAGTTTGTGACGAAATCGACATTGAAATCATGGATTTGTGTTGTACGTTGTAATTTAATCATTTAGAATTTAAACAATTGAAAGAATGTGGAACTGTTTACTTTTTTGAGTTATCCTTAATTCACTAGAAGATGCATAAAACTTGTTGGAATCCAATAGGATTTTACGATGATCAAGAATACTTCTACTTTTACTCTTAACTCAGGCAAAACAATGGCTATTCAGAAATAGATATTCAAAAATCAGTTTTCTCCTTACAGAGTGTTTAACTACAGCAAGTGTATCAGTCAAATCCCTTAGTTTGATTCATCAGCGGTTCAATGGTGGAATGACCATCGGCCACACTGAAGTTCAGGATTTGACTACCAGCAAACTCACTCCTAAACCTTACTTAATATACTAACAGGTAGACAGGAAGCTGGGAACGGATGAAAGTTTGGACGTCAAATTACCAATCACACCCCGTAAAGAAAATTTCACCGTAACTGAAACTTAAAAGATTAAAGCTCTATGTTCCAGCTGAGAGGTAAAGAAACGAATTTTAAAAAATGTCTTGGTTTGAATTAACACTTTTTTTGTTTTGTATAGAGTGGTCAACTAACACAATAATCTTTCGTTTCAAAGTGTGTATTTGTCTTAGTATAATAATGCATCAATGTCTATAAAATTAAACTTTGATATAACAGTAGAATAATATAAATAGCTGCAACTACTTTAGTTCAACAGGATAGATTTATATTTTATGTGTACTTATGATTCATAATACCCCATCTAAGTTATATAAAAATCATGTCATATACTCTTCATTTCAATACTCCCAGAAATAGCAGATATAACTTCAAGGCAATAGTGAAGCAGATGCTGACAAAATAATCTAGGCTGATAAGATGTATCAATAAATATCCTCATTGTGAAGCATAAAGCTAGGCGCAGCCTACTGGATACAAAAGTAAGAAGAGGAGCAGATGTTGGCTCAGACCACTATCTCGTACAAGAGACAATCCAAATCAAATTAAAAGCTTTCACGGAAACAGGAGCTGCAGATAGACCACAAGCCAAGTTCAACACTCAAAAGCTGAAGGACCAAGATACAAAGGACATCTTCGTAACAAGCAAAAGGGACAAAGCCGAGACACAAATCAACAATGGCGAAGAGGTCGGTTTCGAAAAGCACTGAGACAACTTGAAAACGGTGTGGAGTCAAACCTGCATGGAAGTTCTAGGCAGAAAGAAGAGACAGGACAAACAGTGACTCACTACGGACACTTGGAAATTAATAGGAGAGAGAAGGATGGTGAAACAAAAGATTATCCAGTGCACCGACGAGAAACAAAAACAGGAGTTGGATGCAAGCTACAATACGCTGAACAAAACAGTGAAGAAGAGTGCCAGGGAAGACAAAAGAAAATATTATGAAGCCATGTCAAGTGAAGCAGAACAAAAAAGACCTCACCACACTCTACCAAACAACTAGGCACCTATCGGACAAAAGTTCGACACAGATTAAGCCAGTAAAGGATGACAATGGAAAGTCAATCACCAAAGAGTTGGAGCAAAGAAAACACTGGGCTGAACACTTCAAAATACTTCTCATACCATGTGTTCACTAGTAACTGTTCATGTCTTTTTTTCTAGTTCAACAGGTTATATAACCTAAACACGTCAGTATCAGTGTGTGAGACAGGTTTGAATGAACAATGGAAAATGAGCTCTTTCAAAATGCTGCATATATATGTATATATAAAACAAATTAGGAAGGTCTCTTCTACTGATTAACTTTTAATATCTACTAAAACCAATAATGGTTCACTGAAATATTGTATAAATTAACTTAGTAGTTACAGTGAACACATGATCGATAGATTAACAATTTGTATACTGTGTGAGTTAACATCTCACTCACATGAACTCACCTACCCGGAACATATTTCTCATCTACCAGACTATGAGCCATACAAAATTATTGTGTAAGCAATGGTGATACTACCTAGTTATGTATGGTGAAGCAGATGAAGTGGGGCTCGATCCCTGGGCATGTTATTTGTAAGTCAAGTTTTCAAGCCAGTGAACTACACTACCATCTTCGCTAAACCATTTGCCTCTAACAAATTGAACAGCCTAATAATAACATTGTTACATTAGCTTATATGCATCAGTGGTCTAGCGACCAAACGCACGCCAACCATGTATGTAGTTTGAGTTCGATTCCCTGACAACTCACTCCTAAATCTTGACCAGTCAGTAGTGAACCTGAAAAAGATGGAAGAAGGATGCATGTAAGGCTAGCAACCTCATCCTGTAAAAAGGCACCACTAGTGTGGAACTTCACAACTTATGCTTGCAATGCAAAGGAATAAAAAAGAAAATATTGCTTTTAACTGTGTTACTAAAATGTAACTAACTGTACAATTCATATTTAACACACTAAGTTAACATCTGTCGATTCAATTCATACATGACAGATGCAAATGGTAAGTAGGCAGATAAAAGGACCAATGGAATCACTTGACTCCTACATCAGTTGTCATTTTTATTATTATTATCAGCGCTATTATTATTATTTTACTGTTACGCAAAAACAAAAACTATACAAAACCATTTGGAATGAAATAAATAAAAACAATTAACAATACTACTCAATAAAAAAAGCACAACACAGATAAGTAGTTAATTGAGAAAAAAGAAAAATAACAATTAATTGTAGCATTTTCGATGAAGAATTATAAAACTCCTCCTGGTATTTATTTTTAGCATAGAATGTAACAGATGGCATTCATTGTTCACTGTACAAACAAGATATTATTCTGGTGTTTACTTAAGTCGTCATTATTCTATTTTGTTAATCTTTATTTTGGTGACCAGAACAAGCTGGATTCAGGAAAGGCAAATAATGTACTGACCAAATTGCAACTCTACGCATCATCATCACAGAACAAAGCATGGAATGGCAATCAAACCCCTACATCAACTTTATAGACTTTGAGAAGGCCTTCGACAGAGTTGATCGTGAAGTAATTTGGAAACTACTCGAGTACTACGGTGTACCCCAAATATTCATCAACCTTATTCAACAGCTGTACGACAACAGCACATGTCAAGTGATCCATAACGGAAAACTCAGCGAGGCGTTTGTAGTAAACACAGGAGTCAGACAAGGGTGCTGGCTTATTATCACCAATGATATTCCTAATTGTGGTGGACTGGATTATGCGTCAGACAGTGGGAAACGAGAAGACAGGAATATCCTGGACCGACGCGAAAAACCTAGAAGACGTGGATTTCGTGCGTGGATGACTTATGTTTGATTTCACACAAAATCGAAGACTTACAAGCGAAAACCGATAAACTGGTCGAAGAAGCAGCCGGCGAAGACAGGACTCCAAGTGAACATAGACAAGACGGAGGTTATGAAAATAACCAACCAACAACAACAGCAACATCCAGCGTCAATCACCATCAGCGGGAGGAATTTGAAAGAGGTTAATGACTTCATTCACTTATCATCTAGGGAGCATTGTCTCAACTACAGACAGTCGGAACGGACGAGAATGCCAAATAGAGAATCGGGAAGGTGGGAAACACATTCATCAACCTGAAACCAATCTGGAAATCTTCGTCACTCAGCCAATATCAACAACAAAATTCGGTCGGATTTTCAATACAAACAACGTCAAGTCAGTCAGTTCTTCTATACGGATCAGAAACTTGACGGGTGGGTCACAAAGAATATTTCCAACAGCCTGTTGCAGACCTTTATCAACCAACAACTGTCTTCGCTGGATCTATACTGAAGATGAGATGGCCGGGTCGGAAAGGATCACCAACAAGAAACTATGGGAAGAAATAAACAAAACAAGAACCAATCGCCAACCAACAAATATGCAGGAGGAAGTTGAGATGGATTGGACACTCGTTGAGGAGTCCGGTTGGTGACATCGCGCGCGTGTCAGGCCATTGCTCGAGTGGAACCCGAAAGGAAAGAGGCAAGTGGGACGTCGGTGTAAGGGTGACATGGAGGAGATGGTGTTAAGAGGATTTGAAAGAGTATGGACTAACATGGATGGAGGTGAAAAGTACAGCAGAAGCAAGAAAGAAGCAAGTGGAGACGTTCAGTTGAAGCCCTATGTTCCACTAGGAACCCAAGGGAGCAATAATAAATTATTTTGGTGGACAAGTCACAATTATATACATAATAGAGAAATCTGAAAAGCAAAGGGAAAAGAGTCTTTTACATTGAATGCAATGAATTAACCAAATGGCATATACACAGAGAGTGATAGACTCCTTTTGGTATATTTGGCACAGTTGTTATCATACTAACACTACGATGCAACTTTCTAACTTCCTTTCAACACAAAGTATACTGTTAACAGAATTCACAATATATACATTTCTTCAGAAGAAATTCCTCAGAATCACTTCACTCAGCTCTATATCAACCAAAAGACCAAACAACGAAAGAAGATAAAACTAACATCATCTACAAAATAAATTGTAACGACTGCGAACAAGACTGCATTGGCCATAGTGGATGCCCTCTTCGTCTTCGTATCCATGATCATAAAATAGCCGTAAAAAGACATGACATCCACTCGTTACCTCATATCGTCTCACCGTGTAAAGACAACCACGGAAATCCACTCGACTGGAACAACCAACGTTCAAATATTAAACAGAGGAAACACGAAGAATGCCAGAGGAATTTTAGAAGCCTGGTATTCCAGTGAATCGTCAATCAGTAGACACATCGAGACAGACAAAATTTACCAATCGATAAAAAGGAAATCCCATACACAGAAAGGGTCGAAGTTCAAGTCAAGGGAACAATCAACACCAATAGAAGTAGCCGCCTACAGGGTGTTAAAACACACAAAAACAACCAATCACGTTCAAAGTCACCCACCAGGAGAGGTGACTAATAAACTCGTCGAGAAATCCAAAAGCTCACTTCAACAAATTGAAGTATACGCTGAAGATGTTGCCTAGTAAGGCAGTGATAACAGAGCCTCGCAAATAAACCATCCAGCTCAGAAACAAAACTACATTACAAACTGTATTTTGTAAGTTAGTGCTGAGTATCTTTTCTTATTATACGAAATAATAACCGCATACTTCTAATCTACAACATTCCATGAAAACGTAGCCTATCCTAATTTAGACGTATGTATATGTAAACACAAGTACGTAGGTAGTTCAGAGGTAGACTACTCGCCAGGTATTTAAGTGGTTCGAGATTCGATTTTTTGGCCAGCATAAAACCTTCACATCTCTTAGCCGGTTGTAAGCCCGATTAAAAAGAAATACTGGGCATAAGACTAACAATTACAACTCGTAAAACAATACCCTTACTACTGAAACTTAAAAGCTGTAGCCTGAAGCTCTGTGTTTCCCTCTGGGAACCTATGAAAATGAGGAGAAATGTAAACATTACGATTTTGCTTATGTTTTCGTATAAATTTCTTTATTTGAATGCATAAAAGATTTAACTCATGAAAAATTAAAAATGTTTGGTATATATATATAAAGAAATAAAACACTTAATGAAAAGACACATTTTACAACATAGATTTACCACAACATAGAAGCCACGACAACACAGTAAGACGACAGTTTCTTTGCTCCAAAATTGTGTTTAAAAACCAAATACTTTTGTTCTCTCTCTCCTGAATAATATAATCATTAATTTGACACTTACAATTGTAAGGCTTTTCGTCTTTCTTGTTCTTCACGTTCAAGTTTTTCTTGTTCCAATGCTGCAGGATCTCTTAGGATAACAGGTTGATTATTTACAGTGTTAGGTTGTACTCCACTTAAATCTTGACTTTGTGATGCTATTGATGGATTACGACTTTGTCCTTTATCCTGATGTGATTCAACAGATTCTGTAATAGGACCACTATTTGAACTATTCACACTATATGAACTACTTCCATGCACTCCACCAGCATATCGTTCCATTGTATTTTGTTTAGAAGAATAAGTTTGCTGGGAATATTGTTGTTGTTGTTGTTGTTGTAGTGGTTGAGCGTTCAAACTCATTGCTGATACAGACAATTCACCATCATCATCCTGCACACTATTATATGCTTGTTGTTGAGATTCATGTCTAAGTATATAATAAAATAATTTTTTTAAAATATAAAAATTTAACCAAGAATTCTATTTACTTATCGATGTACTAATCTTGTCAATATCAGATTAGTTTGTTTCTACTTGAAAAGCCCCTCAGTGTCAGAGGGTTCTACATGACCAATGATACAAGCATTCATAAATGAATATTGAATGATTTCCAAATACTCACTAGTAGTAAAACCAACTTACGAAAGGAATACTGTGTAGTCAGGTAAACACACATACACAAATAAATGGTCTATGAATAAACGAACGATTGAAAATCATCTGTTTTTCTTTTCATTTTAACGAAAAGAGTTACTTTTAAAGATAAATATGAATTACATCTCTAAAAAGATGCAAAAACCGTCTAATTCCAAGAGAAATATGATTATAAATCGATATCACTTAGGCAATTGTGGAAAACAGAGGAACACTGAGCAACTCATCCGACTCATGTGAGGACTCCTCAGTAATGTGTACAAGGTAGCAAGTCAGTAACCACCAGGTTACCATCACCATTTAGCCTTCTATGGTTTCAGTCTAATAGAGTATGAATTCTGGATTCTTTAGACTCGTAATACAGTAATACGGCTACTTTAACTATGATTGTCATATGGCTGAAATAAACTTCCTATCTTGAACCGAATGGAGTTGAGTTTTAAGTTTGTGATGATCCTATCATCCAGAATGATCTTAATTACAATTCCTTAACAGTGATACCTGTGTAACAATGAGAGATTCAATCAGTGTTATTAATTAACAAAAGGCGTTTATCTCTTATTTGTGCTAGCTGAAGTGAACTCCATCTACCATACCTCATTATGAATATAGTAAGGAATAAAGATAATCTGTCTGTCTGTTTTCGACATAGAACTTTGCATATATGTGCGGCGATTCAAGTCGCCACACTTCACGTAGCACACAAAGCAAGAGAAGAAAATAGAAAAAAATGCATAACAGAGACAATAAACAGAGGTGTGAGACAAAGGAATAGTAATAACGAAGAACAGAACAGTTTCATTGGAAATCAGAAGTTACAAGGAGTGGATGTATCTGCGCCATTGAAAACGATTTTGAGCCATGTCACCAATTATTTCCAACCATTGGTTTTTACCGTTCCGATGACCCCAACCACCTTCCTACGTGGCTTAAACTAACTGTTGTAGATTTCATTGACTAGTGCCATGTTTGTTTGACCTCCGCTAACTCTTATCCAGCCTGACCCTATATCAGCTAACATTGCCCATTGTCGAGGAAGGCGATGACTAGGCATGCATACGTAACACATGTCCTAACCATCTCAGTCGATGTAACTTCACAGCCTCGTCGGTTGATTTCCCCTCCTCACCTAGAACTCGACGCCTAACCTCAATATTGCTCACCTTATTATACCACTTCACACGGGAGATAGAACGCAGGCACCTATGATCAAAGACAGCTAATCTTATCATGTCTTCCACTCTCAATGGCCATGTCTCACAACCATAAAGCAGGAAGGAGCGGACTGATGAGCTGTACACCCGCCCTTTGGTCGATAGTCGGACATCACGTCTACACCAGAGACGGCCTAAACTGGCATATGCGAAACTAGCCCTCTGTATCCGTGCTGAGATTTCGTCAGAGATCAACCCGTTGACGTTGGATGATGGTACTTCACAAGTAAGTGAAGCGGTCAACGTGCTCTACCACTTCACTTCCTATTTGTAATCTAGGAGTCGGTGTAGTCCAGTCCTGACGTCAGTATTTAAGTAGACAGTAATTTAAGGAATTACAGCTTCGCTTTGATGAAGATGACGGTGATGATTTATTGTGCCATGACAACAGATATAAAGTAATTTTCCAATAGTCACATTAGGTTAAACGTTGAAAAACATCAAGTTTTTACTACGTTGAAAACAAAGCACGTATACACCTTTTTAGAATGCTTATAAGTGATGTATGTAAAAGAGTAGTTCAAGCGAGACCGCATAGATTCACTTGAATAGAAAAAAACACTCTAAATCATTCGAAAGAGTTAAAATTCTCAGTGTGTTTAAAGCTATCTGTATTATAACCTGACGGAGAATTATTTGGAAATAATAAAACATTTCTCATTCATTCATCTCATAATATTTTTCGATAAATAAGTAACTTATTTACTAACCCACGAAGAACAAAGAAAGTATCAATCACATGATTGAAATTTAAACTGATTCAAAAATTACTCCTTATACGTCCAAAGTAACTCAAAATCTCAAGTTTGATCACGAACTGATCTCAGTTGAAAAACCACTGAAAACCATGGAGCACTGAACAACTGTTTCGTCTGGGACTCTTCATCAGTACGCACCCATGACTTCACCAGAAACAAGACAAGCTGGTTGACCATTTCAACACTGGAAAAGAATTTCTAGTGGGAAGTCATGATCAGCGACGTTCCATCAAGCCGATTGTGAGGACAGTTGAGATATATATACCAAACTGACAGACGTTAGTACTTGTTAAGCATCGAATGGTCAGCCATTCGCTTCTCTAGCTAAAGTGTTTGATCCTTGATAAGTTAATGGGTGCGTACTGATGAAGAGTCTCAATCTAAAACGAAACAACCATTCAGTATTCTCTGATTTTCACTGGTTCTCCCAACAAAATCAGATGGTGATCAGGCTTGAAATCAGCCAAATATGGCATGTTTTTAGACCGTATTATTTATTAGTAGAAAGTCGACAGTTTAATATTTTCAACTGAGGCAGCCTGACAAGGTAAATATACTTTCTCATTAGAATGAATCAACGTATCACAAAGTGATTTTACTTTTCATGTAAACATTCATATCTACGGCTCATTTAATATTTCCAACATCAATCATGAAAGCATTCACCTTACAAAAAAGCCTTCCTAAAGGATAAAGCAGAAGAGATCAAGTCACTTCAATCTAGATATTCGAAAATTAAAAAAAAAAAACTGAATACTAATCACGTAGAGACTGAAGAGAAATCAACGCAGATCAAAGAAGAAGTTGAGATGTTAAATCAATGCTATTGTTCAAGTGTAATAGCATTTCTCGTTTGACCCATACAAATAAAGTGGTCACCTAAGTGGAAAAACGTGGACAATGCAAGATAAAAAGGATATGACCAAGAACAAACAAAACCATTAGACTTAAAAGAACCCAAATTATGAGAAAAAGAATATATACATCAAACATACGAGTATCATTTATCTTAAAACGATAAAGACAATATATTTTATGACTATTATGAATTCACTTTCCTAGTGCAGATGACACACAACAACAACATTGGAAGCTTTTCTTGGTAATACCTAAGTTCGTAAACTGTTAGAAGTACTCGGACTTCTGATAGTTCCACGAGAATGTATCTTATTCGTAACAATCATATGTTACGAGTAATTCCTTAAAAAGTGTTTTAAACAGATAGTTTATTCAAGAAGCACCTTTGAGTGAAATGTCATATAACGCTTTGAAGGATCAAAGTCCTAAATAAATTATTCAATCTTGTTAAACAATCTGTTCCATATTAGTTTGATTATTAAATGTATCACACAGTGAAACAGTATTGTATACTGGATGACGTTTCGAACACAATTTATTGTTCATAATCGTATCAATTTTTGTCACACGACTTCGAGATTTGATTTTTATAGTTTTCTCTGTCTTCTCCTATTTGTTGTATGGGCAGTAGAATTTTCCATATATCTGGGACAGGTGTTGAATCATTCATTACACATATATAAACAATCTGTTGTTTTAAATATTATCACTGATAACAAGTCGAAAAGGCAGAATGATGTCAACATTTTGTTTAGAATAAACAAACTTACCCATAGCCACTTCGTGAAAATGTTTCATTTTGCCACTGACGAGGTGGCCTGCCACGTTGAATAGAACTGACATGATCTCTTGATCCTGATGCATAGCGCTGTTTCGAATGTGGGGACTGACTATGATCCACACTATCAGCATGGTGTGGAGATACAGAATTTTGACGCCCATATGGAACATTGACTTCTCTAGAAGCACTAGTATTTACAGGTCTAGACTGTAAACCCCGTTGTCCTGTACCGATATTCTCTGTTTGTAATCGGCTGGATAAAGGAGCTTTCTGTGACTGAATTGGAAGTCTATTACTGGCAACATGTGATGAAATTGGTTTGCTGCTATAATTGGTAAATCCGCTCACACCTTCTTCGTCTTCACTAGATGAAGAGTCCAGCATTATTTACGAATATTTGAGCAGGTACGGGCTAGAAAGTTACCATAAAAATACTGATAAATGAATGTTTATGACTGTTTATATATAAATGTAAACTAGAAATTAAACAGTAATTACCCATAACTGCTAACACAGAAAGATGATTTTAGTAAAGACAGAAAAATGACTTATTTGATGAGAAAATTCATGATTTACTTTAAATGATGACCCAGATATTTGATCCCATGCATTCTGTATCTTACTTTGCAAAATCTAGATCTATTTAATTCTGAAGACATTGTTTCATTTATTTCGGAACAGTTCAGTTTAGAATTCAAGTTGTGCTGTAAAATAAACCTGTGGAAATGAAGTGAAACAGTCAGTAGTGCTATTCTTCAAATCTACGCGCAAAAATATCACTTTTGTATTCTTGAAAGACAGACAGCTGATAAAGAATTAAAGCCTTAACAGTAGCTAAACATTTATCAGTAGTAATAGTAATGAACATGAAATTTAAGGGATTTTAGGGGATTTTCTAAAAATTTTAAAAACTGAAACAGTGACAACCTCAGTGAAGATCATTATAGAGTGCCAAACATTCCAAGATAAAAAAAATATGTAATGTATAGTGTTACATAATAACTTTATGTTAGTTATACCTTTCTAACACGTGATCACATATTTATTTTCAAATTTTTAATTTTGTAAAGATTTGGAAGAATTTCATTATAGATTTCATCATCGAAAGTCAAAGAGCCTAAAATAGCTTCTTCGGCAGTGTTAAGTGATAATCCCACTAGGGATCGAACCTAGGACCTCAGGTTACAAGCCTACTGTGTTAACTATTCAGCCACTGGGATATAGTTCAATAGTTCATCAATTTTAATTTTTATGAGTTTGTTACATAGCAATACCACCAGCTAGTGCCTTTGATGAGTACTTTTCATAAGTGAATGTTAAAACTATAGTGTTTCATTCACTCAGACACATGCATACGACTGATTATCCTGAGTATCTTTTTATAAGTCTTGTAGATGTTGTACACAATCATTTTTACTGGGATTGTAAGTAACTATAACAACAGTGAATAAAATCTTAGTATGACATGTATCAAATTAATTGCATGATATTTATTTCCCCTGACTACTTCGCATGCTGCTTTCCCTAAAAATACCCTATTATATCCAAATTAAATGATTGTCCTTGGTACCAGATGACATAAAATTGACTCAATAAAATTTTAAGGAAGGATAAAAGTAGAGAGAAGTAGGCTAAAAGGCCAAAATTGAGAAATTTCATTCAGTTAATTTCATATATATGCCATATGATGATGTATTAAATTACTCCATATCTACTCATAATCCCAGTATAAATGATTTTATTCAATATCTAACTGACATTTAAAAAAAGTAGATATTTACAGTGAGCAATAGCATATATATATATATTGATACTGAGAAATAAATATATCATTGAAATATACGACCCCACTCCTAATCTTTTTCTTGCTTTCGTCAAACGACTAATGTGTATAGGCTGGCTCAAAAATGTCCATTTAGTTGTGTTGCTTCTCAAGCTTATTTTTACGTGAAGATTGTTTTTCAACTTCAATGTAAACATGAGCCATTAATCTACCTTTTTGACTTTACTTTTATTTGGTTTAGTAGCTGTTCAGATGGTACTACTGTTTAATTGACCATTGTGTCTCGTGCGCAGATTAATTAGGAATAATGATGTCTTAGCACTTAGAGAGGTCTAAATATATTTTAACCTCTTCTTATCTGAATGTATTTTTCGTTCAATCTGAGTTCGTGTTTTTTCTGCCTACATTTTGACTCTAACCACAAATAAGTTAGCTTCCCATATACATGTATGCATATATTGGTTACGCTTGTTTAGCATTATAGCAGACAATTTATTTTCTTGACTGCCCATTATTTATGGCCATTGGTGTTCACACATTCATTAATATTTAATTATCCTATCGGTGGAGTATTTATTTTTGTCAGGAAAATAACAATATAAAGCAGTAGAATAGATGGGAAATAAAGGCAATCGGATAAAACAGTTGTAAATCACTAGAAGACTTAGGAATAAAATTTATTTTATCCTACTAATACCAGACTGTGTGTCGGGTGGCACAACGGTAGAATGCTTGTCGACCACGACACATGTGGTTCGGGGTTCGATCCCCGGCTGACTCACTCCTTTACCTAGCTAAGCCGGTAATAAGACTGGTAAACAGGGAAGGTTGAACATGAGACTAGCAACCCCATCCTGTAAAACTAAATACCACTGCTACAGAAACTTCAAAGCTCTAGCTTGAAGCCCTATGTGTTCCACTGGGAATGTAGAGGAATAAAACAAAATGAAGTAAACTAATAATAGGCAAAATAACACTGTCATAATTTATAATTTACACAAATTAAGACAAATATACTTTTTTATGGCATGGAAACTTTATACTGTAAGTTATGAATTAACCTAAACATCATACTACTTGAACTCCGTAGACATTTAATTTAAAAGACTACTATTAAGGACAATTAATTCAGCTTCTCTTTTTTTTCGTAGAAATACACACCAGAAGTATATATTAACATACATGGAACATAAGCTATCTAGGCTGGTCTAAAGCTATATCATCAAAGCTTCAAATGTTCAGCGTACAAAGTTAAGTTTCGACAAATATTGTTTCGTTCCTCAAGATGCAGAAAATACTACAAAAAAAAGCAGTCGATAAACATATTTAGTTTTAGGCTAAACGTATCAACAGATTGACATAGACATTTGAATCAATAAATAACCTTTCTGCAGAATGCATCAGTTCATGGTGCTACATTCGGAATTGAACACGAGGAAGTAATAAAAATAGATAAAAAGCTATCATAGTGTAAAATGAATGCGAATAGTCACATGAAGATATCTTAGAATATGTATAAACTCGATACTGACATCTTTATGAACTCTATTGAGCTAAGTTCTCAAACTTATTTGTTTAGATCGGTTTTGATTTTCCCACTGATTGATCGAACCAAAATGTTCGATCTTTGGGAACAACGACACTCACTGAAAATGCAGGTTCATCTGAACGACGAGTCCCAAAAAGGAGAAAATACGCATCGTGGATTCCACCGCTAGTCACTATCCACCAGATTACTTTAAGTTTCTGATCTACCCAAGGATCTGTACATTCTTCACCTTTCTGTATAACTTCGACTCGAAAACGCAGACTTCATAGATAGGTACCACTTACTTGTCCAATAAATCCTATTTTTGGGGGACTAATTATTTTTCACTTTACGCTGCTCTTCGAACAAGGTTATGCCTGGAAATGCATAAAGTATGTACTAGCTTCCTCAGTAAAAGCTTTAGCTCAGCGAATGACTTTATTTCATCCAATTTATAATTAGTTTATGTCTCCTGCTTCCGGTCAACATGTCTCTGAGCCGAGAATTAGGGAACAATAGATGAGACTTACAGGATATTTCGCCAATGACAAACGAGACACAGGGTTGACTTGGGCTGAACTAGATTTTTGTATCATTGAATGCGAAATTAAAAAAAATTGCTGTAGTTGGATTATCCCTATTTTTGCCCTGGCCTTAAGCAGAGACTATAAACTCATGAATTTGTAATATTATCCTTCCTAATTCTTCTGAAATTCAGCTTATTTTATGCTGATGCAATTCAGCTGTAATCTATCAATATTATTGATTTGATGTTATTTAAACATTAACGTCCTTCATAACACTCTCATTCATTCACTATTATTATTATTATTGTTCCCTTGGGTTCCTAATGGAACATAGGGCTTCAACTGAACGTCTCCACTTGCTTCTTTCTTGCTTCTGCTGTACTTTTCACCTCCATCCATGTTAGTCCATACTCTTTCAAATCCTCTTAACACCATCTCCTTCATGTCACCCTTACACCGACGTCCCACTCGCCTCTTTCCTTTCGGGTTCCACTCGAGCAATGGCCTGACACGCGCGCGATGTCACCAACCGCACTCCTCAACGAGTGTCCAATCCATCTCAACTTCCTCCTGCATATTTGTTGGTTGGCGATTGGTTCTTGTTTTGTTTATTTCTTCCCATAGTTTCTTGTTGGTGATCCTTTCCGGCCCGGCCATCTGATCTGATCTTCAGTATAGATCCAGCGAAGACAGTTGTTGGTTGATAAAGGTCTGCAACAGGCTGTTGGAAATATTCTTTGTGACCCGCCCGCCAAGTTTCTGATCCGTATAGAAGAACTGACCGACTTGACGTCGTTTGTATTGAAAATTCGAGCAAATTTTGTTGTTGATGCTGGCTGAGTGACGAAGATTTCCAGATTGGTTTCAGGTTGATGAATGTGTTTCTCGCTCGCCTTCCCGATTCTCGATTTGACATTCTCGTCCGTTCCGACTTCCTGTAGTTGAGACAATGCTCCCTAGATGATAAGTGAATGAAGTCATTAACCTCTTTCAAATCCCTCCCTCCCTCATTCACTATAATGTATATATAACTGTAGAGCCTGATGATGAAGTTATCGAAAAGAGTACTCTTTGTTCAGTATCCATTCTTTTGAAAATTTTACCCAATTGCATCAAGATAAGAGTGTAGAAAAAAATGACAACTGACTACTACTCTAGCGTCTAAACTAAAATTAACGGTTCAATCTCAATTTTCACTTACACCAAGACTTTCAGCAAAATTAACCTGTACTTGTTTTTCAAATGAATTGTGCAGATTATTTTTCAAAGCAGTTACAAAACTATTCGAATAACTAAAGCTAATCGGTAAAATCCTACTTCTATACTCATAGAATAAAAGAAATAGAGAGGAAAATTTCTGTTGATTTACAAGCATAGAATTTCATTTTTTCCCAAAAAGATACAAAATCCATTTGGTATACATTAGGCTAACATATGCAACTTATTCTTATAATTGTAGAGTTGTGGTTTATTTATTCAAGTATTAGACTTAATTTTATGAACCAGAGGCTTGAATAAATACCGTTTAGGACAAGGCTGTTCAGTCAGCTGTATAACAACCGATTAAAATTAAG